AAAGAGTGACTAGTAATAACAGGAGTTGACTTTCTTTTTCTTATTTCCACATTATTATTAATTACCCAAATGTCAATTTTTTTTTCTAGTCATCATTGGCTTATGGTAATTTCCTTTCAAAATATATTATTATTATTTTTTTTAATTTCCTCATTACTGATTTTCTTCTTATTTTTTTTTCTCATTCCAAATTGACAAATGAAAAATGAAAGGATAACAAGTACAAAAAAAAAAATAAAATAAAATAAAATAAAATAAAAACACTTCTTAAGCTTCAATACCAATCCATATAACCTTAAATTTATCTTTTTCTTTTTCCCGTTTTATAAAGGCGTTTCTCGTTTTTTTTTTCTCCCTCTCTCTCTCTCTCTCTTTCTCTCTTTTATTTTTGACGGTCCGCAATTTAATACACTGGACACGCACAGGTTTGAGTCACTTTTATACTAAGTTTGTTTTTTTCCTTTCATTTGAATACAAAACACACTATTATTATCTTTCAAATTGATAAATAATGAGTGTGTGTATGTGTTAATATTATTGCATCTATCAAAAAGTATACCATGGATATGGTTTTAAAGTTCATTTTTGTTATAATCTAAGTATTCCGCAATTCTCTTTTTTTTTTTTTTTTTTGGAAATCGTATAACCTAGTTTTTTTTTTCTGTTTAAAACATTGTAAGATTGTCCATATGATAATGAGGGCCATTAGCTTCTTCTAACTAAAAGTGATATTTCTTTTTTTTCTTTTTCTCGTGTTTATTTAAACAATAGTATCTATATTGGTTAAATTCAAAAGAAAAAGAAACCATTTCTTTCTTTCTTTTTTTTTTTTTTTGAAAGGATAAAGAAACAAACATCAATGGTGAAGAAACAATTGATTTTTTAATTATTTTTTTTTAAAGTTTTTTTTGACTAATGAACACAAATAAAACCTTTTATTCAATTTGAAAAAAATAATGGATCCTAAGTGGGACAAGACATTTAAGTAAGGGATAACAAGTTAGATTAGCGAGAAAAGATCAAAGATTTTTTTATAGTTAGTAAGAGGTAAAGGAAAAAAAAATTTTAAATGAATAAATAACACATACATGTATATATACATATACCCTGCATTGATGAACAAAATCAAGGATTTAGACAAAAAAATAGATGATTTTTTTTCTCTAATAATCACACTATATAAAAATTGAAAAGGTTGTTTATTTTAAAGGGGGTGGTGTAAGTATCATTAAAGTCTTTAAAAGTTGAAATGTTTTTTTTACTAGCAATTATTGATTTCTTGATATATAAATAGTTTATTGATCTTTCGCTTATAAAGAAATATTAAGCAATTTAAACCAAAAGAAAGCGCTTTGTTAACTAACCTAGGTCAAAGAAATATCAAAAGGATTAAGTTAAATCAAGATTTTTTTTTTCAAAGAATTGATTCTTTTATTTTGAAAAAAAAAAAAAAAATATGTTAGTGACTCATGGATTATAAGATATACATAACTTCAGCATAAATACTATCCTTTCTGCTCCTGCTATATATATATATCTTTCAGATTCATTAGATATACTTTCAATTTTACCTCAACACATGCACCTCTAAATCCCCTTGAAATAAATTCCAACTATTTCAAACTAAATATAAAGACTTAAAAATTAAATATATCCCATTTTAAACACTTTTTTGTTTGTTTGTCTTTATTTAAGGGTTTTAGAATTATATAACATCAGCATCTGCCCTATCCTTCTTGTCCATACTATATATCTTTTCATTTTCATAATAAACTTTTAATTTTGGCTTCAACATTGCATCTCCAACAGCCCGAAAATAAGTCTTGATACCAGTTTATGAGGAACAGGTTGTCAAAAAAAAACCCCAAACCTTCCCAACTTATCTCCACTTGTCTTCGTCAACGTTGTAATTGTATTTCTTAATCTCTCCAAGCAGAGATAAAGCTTAAAATCTCTTGTAAGTCAATTAAACAGTTTAAGAGAGTTGACATGTCCATCTCTGGAGATATCCTTTTCAATTCTTTTCTTTCTTCTTCAAGCAAAGGACACTCAACCAAAATGTGATGAACTGTTTCCATCTCTCCACATTTGCAGTTGTAACTATCCTTTTCAATTCCAACCTTTTTAAACCGTGCGCCAAAGTTGCCATGGCCTGTGCAAAACTAATTATTGTTACTTGAGATCCTTTGACTATCATTTCCTCATAATAATTTAACATATTTCCCTCAATTGGGACTTCTATATTGATTGTAGGGCTACTTTCGTTATTTCCATATTTCTATTTTTTTAACGGATATCGGCAATAGTTTAGTGGCTAGAATTTCCGCCTGTCAGCTTTTACGAGCAGCGCGCGGGGGACCGGGGTTCAATTCCCCGTTGCCGAGATTTTTTTTTGATCTACTTTATATATAACTGCTACAACTTAAAAAGCACTATATAAACCCTGTTTTGGGTTAGGGTATATAAATATAATTTTTTTTTTAAAAAAAAAACTTTAATTCAAAAACACATGACTTTATTTAATTTTAAATCAAATTTAACACAACACAAATATATATTTCACATATTTAAAGTCCCTTTTTATCCGTTTGTTGTTGTTTGTTTGTTTTTATTCAAGGGTTATAGAACTATATAACATCAGCATCTGCGCTATCCTTTTATTGTCTGACTATGTGACTTGCCGGTTTTCATTTGTACCTTTTTAGTACGGGTGGTTTCTGTTCTGTGCGTCTCCGGTAGCCCGGAAGATGGGCCCTGATGCCAGCTTACGAGGAACAGGGAGAACCAGTCTGTCGGTCCCAAAACCTTCCCAACCCATTTCCACTTATCTTCACGGACGCCCATGTATTTCTTAATCTCTTCCGTCAGAGATACGGCCCGCAATCACCTGCAGGCTATTTAGACTGTACGGAAGAGTCGGCATTCCTGTAACCAGGGTAGCCTATGGTTTTTCAGTCTAGGTGTATACTCCCGTACACATCCTCAGGAAAAGGGGGTATTCTGGGAATCGAACCCAGTATCTTCCGCTTTCGAGCGAACGTGTTATCCTTTACACCATCCAGCCCTTTCCCACGTCCCTTTTTATCCGGTTTAAGCAAAATTCCGTTTTTTCTTTTCTGCTAAATTCTGATTCTTTTTATTTTAAAGTTTTCAACAAATTGACTCTCGATAGCTCAGTTGGTAGAGCGCGGGACTGTAATGGTTCATTGTAATCCTGAGGCCGCGTGTTCGACTCACGCTCGGGAGATTTATCTTTTTGTTTTTTTTATTATCTTTTGTTATTACTATTTTTTTTTTTTTTTTTTGGTCATTCTCTATATCAAGATTTTATAAATTGGTTGAACTATACTCGATAGTAATATGTTTTTACATAATTTGTGATTTGTTATTGCCATTAATCTTTGTAATCTATAGTCTATGGTTTTTTCATTGATCATTGATGTCACAAGAATTTATTTGTGTACTTATCAGTTAGAATTAATGTTGGACATTTCAATTTTATATGAGACCTAAATAACACACGCATTCTTTTTTTTTTTTTTTTTTTTTTTTCAACTGTCCCAATTAAAAATCTGGTTTTTGTTTTTTTTTGTTTGTTTATATATTTTCAACCGGTTGGACACCGAAAGAACGGCCGGTTCCGGGCGGTTAGCTACGGCTTCCATTAAGTCTTCCCCTCCTTTTTTTTTTTTTTTCTTTTCACTTAGGTCAAACTTTTAGTTTTAGTTTTAGTTTTAGTTTTAGTTTTAGTTTTAGTTTTACTACTACTACTACTAATATCATTATTAATATATTAAATCTTCTTCGGGGTATGACAGAAGCTTTTCAAAGAGCGCTTGAGGTGGGTGGGGGTGATATATGAGTGAGTTTATGTGAATGTGTCGGGTGAACGCAGCCATTGCTTCAAAAAGAGATTTGAGTTAGCATTTGGTAGCGGGGGAGTTACATATCAAGTTAAATGAATAGGTGGTGAAGGTGAAGAAAAATTAAACGAAGAATGGCGGGGTGCGTGCATAATTTATTTCGGCGCAGAGTCGGGTTTTACCCTTTATTTATCTTAAAGCTTAGTGAAGACCCGAGTGTTCCGGATTGAGAGTAGTTAGTACGGGAAAGGACGGCTGTTACGGCACCGGTTATTAATATATATATATTTTGTATGTGGGTTAGGTGTTTAAAAAATTCCTTTTTTTTTTTAAATAATTTAGAGTTGTAATTGTAATTATAATTGTAATTGTTCAAAAGTTACAAAAAAAAAAAAAAACGGCAGGGATCCGAGGCTTCTCCATTCCTTCACATTTTTATTTTTGTTGTTGTTATCGTCGTCGTTTTAGTACCGCGCGGGGGCCGGCCGGGGGAAGAACAAACGGCCAAGTTACGGGCTTTACGGCGCTGAGTCATGTGAGCGTGGGGGATGACTCAGCGGTTATCTGGGGGGGGATGAAGAGGTTGAGAGGCGAGAGGCGGGGAGAAATTTCTGTTTTAACAGATTGTTGTGGAGGGTTAAATTAAGTGGGGCGGGGCATTTAATGGTCATGTGATAATTATTGTTAAAATGGTAGCATATATATGCATATATGCGGAGAAGCCACTTTTTTTTTTTTTTATTTTTTTAAAGCGAAAAATTTTTTTTTTATCTTTTTAAAGAAAAAATTAAAAAAAAAATTAAAAAGGGCCAGTTCCAATTTGATAGAAAGACTAAAATTTTTTTTAAAATTTAAAATTTAAAATTTTATAAAAAATCAAAAATTTCTTTTCTTCTTCTTTTTATTCTTTTTATTCTTCATATCTATCTATCATCAATTTATTTATTTATTTATTTTATAATCGCAAATTTAAACTTTTTTTTTTTTTTTAATATTGATATATTGATATTGCTACTGTTTATTGCGTTCTGTGATATATCATTTGGTTAGAGTTTTACTACCAAAAAAAACGCCAATAAAACTTCTCCTCTTAAAAATCTTTTTATATACACACACAATTAATTTAGTTAATTAATTATGTCCACCTCCACTACCCCAGAATTTAATTTTGGTTTACAACAACTTCAACCATCTCAACAATCTCAACAATCTCAACCAAATACCCTCCATCAAACTTCCCTTAGATTGATCAAATCTTCATCATCTTCTTCATCTTCTTCATCTTCTTCAGAAATGTCTCAGTCCATGCACTCTTCAGCACAGACTGAGCCATCTCAAAACCTTTCCACACTACCACCACATTCACTACAATCTTCATCACAATCACAATCACAATCTTCATCACAATCTTTACAATCACAACCATCTCAACTTCTGGTCGATAAAACTCAAATGATACCAAATGCTGCTGCTGCTGCTGCCGCTACTACAGCTACCCTTACTTCTGAAAATAACCACTCAGCAACTCACCACCAAAATATTCTTCGCTCAACTTGCATCGATATGAACTTTGATCGCCCAGCCAATGACTCGCCCTCTATTACCAACTCAACCCCTCCCAAAATCATTGACAAACAATCCCTTGAATATGTCATTCGTAGTAGCATAGCAGGTGGTCTTGCTGGTACCTCTGCAAAAACTCTCATAGCCCCTCTAGATCGCGTCAAAATCCTTTTCCAAACATCAAACCCGGAGTTCCGTAGATTTACCGGCTCTTGGCTCGGCTTTTACCGCGCAGGAAGTGAAATCTATCGCACACAAGGCTTTTTCGGTCTTTTCCAAGGTCACTCAGCTACCCTCCTGAGAATCTTCCCATATGCCGCTACAAAGTTCGTCATGTACGAACAAGTCAGAGCCCTTCTCATCCCTGACAAATCCCACGAAACTTCCATCAGACGCTTCTTGGCTGGATCAATCTCAGGTGTCACCTCTGTCTTCGTCACATACCCTCTTGATCTTGTCCGTGTCAGACTCGCCTTTGAAACCCGTTCTGTCGCCCCAGACCCTCATCCTGCCTTTCAAAAACATCGTAGCCATTATGACTACAAAGGTGGCCGTCTGATACAAGCCATCCAAAAGATTTATAGCGAACCTTCTGCTTTTAATCAATCAATACCTAATCTTTCATCATCATCATCATCATCATCATCATCATCATCATCATCATCATCACCATCTCCATCTTCTTCCTCTCCACTCTCCTCTGCATATACCCATTCACCACCAATAAACCAAACATCAGGCTCACTGCCCGTTCGAATCTTCTTTGGCCTCTCAAACTTTTACAGAGGTTTCACCCCAACAATCATCGGAATGATCCCCTACGCTGGCGTCTCCTTCTGGGCTCACGATCTACTCCATGATGTTTTCCGCTCAGCATACCTCGCCCCCTACGCTGTCATGGATGTGCTTCCTCCAGAAGAAGACCAGGTCATCAATCCATCAAGAAGCACATACAAGGCCCACCGCCAACCTCTCACCACCTGGGCACAACTTACTGCAGGTGGCCTCGCTGGCATGATGGCCCAAACAGCTTCATACCCACTAGAAGTTGTTCGCAGAAGAATCCAGGTCTCCGGTGTCACTGGTGAAAGCGTCGGATTGTTCAAAACAATCTCCACAATCTACCGTAACGCAGGTATCCAGGGCTTCTTTGTGGGACTCTCAATCGGATACATTAAAGTAGTCCCCATGTTTGCATGTTCCTTTTTCGTATACGAACGACTCAAGTCGTTGTTAAGAATTTGATAATGAGATAATGATAATGACTATGAAAAATTAAAAAAAAAAAACGTAAATCATATATATACATATATATATTTATATATTTCTAGAATTTTTTTTTTTTTTCTAATCTTCTTTTTCTTTTGTTCATCTAAATTGTGAGTAATACCGTTCTTCAGAAAATCGCTTCTCAACCAACTCTAAAACCTCTGCTGAATACACGTCCTTGGGTGACAAACCCTTAAACAAAACCTCGCTCTCATGCTTCTTCTGTTCGTCCTTGGTCATAATCACCAAGTTACTAAACTCCGCAACACCCTTTTGTTTCGGTGGCTCCCACATGGTCAACGCCAATCGTGTACTCTGCCCACTCAATACTGACTTGCCCCGGAACACCTCCTCTACAAGGTATTCCACATCGCTCATGTCCACTGGAACTGGCACCGCGTCCCACTTAAGCCGCGCCATTTGCCCGGCCAACGATTGCAGCACCGAGTCGTACAGCTTTGTTCGTCGCTTCCCAGCCAGCGAGTATCCGCCTTGCAAAGGATCCGTCACTCCAGGGTATCCACCCGTCAGTGTCAGCACATGTGTCGCTATTGTCAGTCCGAAAATTGCAGGCAGCGGGCCCAACACCGGCAGAATCCGTACCCGAAAGTCCGCAAGCACTGCAAGCTCTTCTGTGTTGCCCTGATCTTGCGCTTCCTCAGACAACGGCAGCAAAGCAGCCTTCTCTGGTGACGGCTTTTCCGTCGAAAAAACAACTGGAATGCCATAGTTCACCTTGCGCTGCTTAAGACGACGACGAGTCGAACGTGCTAAGGGATCTTCAAGTGACACTGAAATGTCTCCAATCGATACCCGTGTGGGGTCCGATTTGGCACCTGCACCCATGGCTGAAATTACACGTACGGGTTTCTTGACTGGGTTTTCATCTTGTTGCTGTTGATCTTTTGGCTCTTTTTCTTTGTAAATCCCACGCTTGCGCTCCCGCATTTCTTGCTTCTTTACAAGTTTCTGTTTCACTGTACCATTCTGCTCGCGCTCAATTTCATCTAAATCCATCAAATTCTTATAGCAGTACTCTAGCAAGTCCACCTTGGTATCAATGTTGTCAATCGCATCCACAATCCAATCAGGATTCCCATCAGAAAGCAAACTTTCGTGGTTGGTGTTCTTCTTGTCCCATAGAGCAACCACAGGCTCTATCTCACACCAAGGTGCAACCTTCCGCAAATACTCAGCAATGCAGTGCACCTTAGGTCGCCCCACATCTGCCAATGTTGCTGTCGCGTGTCTATTCAGTGAAGACAGTGTCACCTGGTCAAAATCAATGATGCGCAGCTTACGAATACCTGAACGAACAAGCATCGTTGCCGCCCATGATCCAACACCTCCAGCTCCAATAATAACAACAAAAGTTCCGCGCACTTTTTCATAACCTTCCTCTCCAAGGAACACTCGGTTTCGCGCAAGCTGTTCGTCAATCAATGTCGTGTCAAACTTTTCCGCACTCAGCGAAGCTACTGGCGCTGGTGCTGGTGCTGGTGACGGTGTGCTTGCTGGTGATGCCGTGTGTTCACCAAAGAGTGGAATGCGAGACGGCGCATCCGACGATGTGCTACTGGAGCCGTTTTCAAGCTGGCTTTTTTCAGCGGTCAAAGAGACTGGCACGCCGTATTCGTCCAGCTGGACAGGCACAATTTGATGGTGACGCTCGAGCGACTTGAGTTCATGCTCAAGCTCTTCACGCTTGATTTGTTGTGCCTGTGCTTGGATGGCAAGTGTCAGCAAAACTGACAGTGTCGATGCAGCAGCACCAGCAATTAGAGCAATCGTCGCTGGCGAAAGCTTAGCATTATTAATGAAGGATGTAAGTCCCATTTTGGTATATATGGTAAAAAGAGAAAGTGAAAGAGAAAAAAGAAAGAAATCGTAGAAGAAAAAAAAAAACTTTTAAAAGTTGATAAAAAAATTTTTTTTTTTTTTTCAAATCATCTACATATTTCACGTGATAACTTTAAGAATCTATAAACTACAAATCCTTTTTAACAAAGTCAAGTTACTACAAGTCAATTTTATTATTATTTTTTTTCAATAATTTGAAAATGTATGTTCCACTACTATCAAACCACATCTGTGGGGTCAAATATTTAGATGCTGTTAGCGAAAAGAACATTATTCAAGTTTCCTCTGCCGCCCCAGTCACACTCCAAAGCAGAAATGCTTCTTCCTCCTTGCCAACATGGCTAGTACCATAGAAAAAAACTTCACTAGTGTAGCCGTCAGGAACGAGGGGGCGGGTTCCCGAGGAAAAGAAAAGAAAAAAAAAAAAAAAAAGAAGAAGAAGAAAATCTAAATGGTGAGAGTTTTAAGGTGGTTTTTATAGCAAAGACAAAAAAAAAAATTTGTCAGACTGAAATCTACTCAACTAAGAGAATACTAGAGACTGGATATTGGATATTAGATATTACCCTACATTCACAACTTAGGCTTCTTTCTTCTTTCTACTTTCTGGGATTTCGTCAGTACTCAACTATGGTACAAACCAATCTTAGCACACAATCATCAAAAAACCATCCATACATATAGAAAATATATCCCAAGTAAACAATCTACAATATACAAGTAGTGAAACGAATTTAAAAGAATATACGAAGAGAAGAATACACTTACTTCAAAAATTGTCAAAAATACAGGATATTTCCGAGAGCTGTTAAATCCACCAAGCTTCAAAAAGAGCAGAAAAAATACCAACAAGGATACTTACTACAATGCACACCATACTCAATTAAGTAGGATTCAAGCAACAGACCAAATTTGAAATGCCCGATATTATCTCAAGGTACCAGAGCTCAAGGCTATCACTTCACCTTAAAAAAAAAACTCTGACTTTAGGCTACATTCAGAGTTGAAAAAAGTCAAACCATGCCGTAATTGACCATAAAAAGTCAATTTATAACCGCGCGCGCGCCCAAAGTTATTCTTAACTCCCCCCAATTTCAACAGTCACCCTTGAAGTTCCCTATATAATCCCCAGTTTTTTTTTTTTTTTTTTTTTTTTTTTTTTTTTTTTTTTTTTTTTCAAAATGGTCCCAGCTGTTCCATAGACTCAACATACCCTCCTCAAATCATACTGAGCTTTAACAAGAAGCGGATTAAAACCAGAAAAAAGGCATTGGGCTTCAAAAGCATAAGGCCAAACAGAATTAACTGAGACAATTCTAGTAGCGAAAAACATCATGCTTCTTGAAAAAAAAAATCAGCAATCAACAATAAGACTGCCAATACAGGTCGAGATACTACCACTCTTTACCTATGGTGCAAGTCTGGGTAGACTAGGACTGTTCAACCACCATTTATATTCATCGTGAGCAAGCCTCAAAAATAAAAAGACACTCATGAGCAACATTGCATCATGTCCCAAGCTAAACTATTTTAATAAGTTAAGTGGCAGAAGGATAGTATAACTTGCAATACAGGTCAAGGCTTTAGTCATAAATTATAAATCCAATTCAAGGCCAAACCAAATAGTATTCCAAAATTGACGCATACTGTCATGAATAGAGCTAGTAGTAGCAAGAATAGGATAGCACCAGCCAACATGTGTACTTAGCTCAATCAAAAATGTCTAAGTTAAAGCGTCTTGTGCATAAGCCTAAGACATGCTTAGCAACCAAAGTGAGTCCAAACATGGAGAATAAGGGGGGGGGAATGCAAAAATGTACCTTGCAGTGCCATCGTCTATCGTCTATCGTCTATCCAGTCCCAACTCAACTATAATAGACTAGGAACGCCGTTCTGACTGCGTGTGTAGGTAGACACAAAAGGAACATGACCAGCATTGAAATGTCTAAACTCAACAACAAAAAAAAAAAAGAAAAGCTTGGAATGAGACAGACAATGACTCCGGTAATTTATTGACGATGACCCAAGACTGAAAATAAGGTACTAGTAAACCAGAAACCACGTAAAAAGGCAACTAGGTAAGCCTTACAAGCACTGAAAAATCCCAAGCTCTACCACTGCAACTTCAAATGGAGACAGAAAAGAGTAAAACCAAACGCTGATAAACACCAAATCAAGACCAGGACCACATCAAGTGAAGCATATATCCTTAATTTAAGCAGTCATCTTAGCTTAACCATTTGCACCTCGCTTTTAGCCTACCTTCTCCACGGTCCTTCGTTTTGTCACAAGAAAAAATAAAGAGCTGCCAGTCTTTAATTGTTTCTCAACCAACAGCAGATATCTTTGATTTCAAGTATGTTGAAACAAATAAACAAAAAATGCAAGCCGCTGATGCATTTGAGAAAACGTCATCACCACCCACGCATGATACGTATAAAGTAAAGTGCAACAGACTGACCCATCAAACTAACGGCAACATGGATCAAAGCTTGCTCTCGTTGAAATGTGACCCCAGCTCAATCAGGAAAATCAGGAGCGAACACAATTGGCTAGTCTATGAGAACTTGATGGGAAGGAGCTTGATGGAGGCTTGATGGAGGCTTGATGAAAGTTTGATGGAAGTTTGATGGAAGTTTGATGGAAGTTTGATGGAAGCTTGATGGAAGCTTGATGGAAGCTTGATGGGAGAAGGGACAACAGTGATAAGATGCATGTAGATGATTGGGTAAAAGTAAACATCTTGTAAGTGGTAGAGTGGTAGAGTGGTAGAGTGGTAGAGTGGTAGAGTGGTAGAGTGGTAGAGTGGTAGAGTGGTAGAGTGGTAGAGTGGTAGAGTGGTAGAGTGGTAGAGTGGTAGAGTGGTAGAGTGGTAGAGTGGTAGAGTGGTAGAGTGGTAGAGTGGTAGAGTGGTAGAGTGGTAGAGTGGTAGAGTGATAAAGTATAGAAGTAGAAATCGAAGTCGAAGTCGAAGTAAATGTATCGGCATCGCCCCTATAAACTTTTTGTCATGCCCCCAGTCTAATCTTCCCATGGATCAGTCTGACACAGGAATCAGCTAAATAAACCAAACTCCATCCGATCATGAACCTCATAAACCAAAAGCATAACAAAACAATGTCGTGTATGTCGAAGACGGATGTTGATGCCGAAGGGCAGAAGTGGTGAAGAAGTGAAGAAGTGAAGAAGTGAAGAAGTGAAGAAGTGAAGAAGTGAAGAAGTGAAGAAGTGAAGAAGTGAAGAAGTGAAGAAGTGAAGAAGTGAAGAAGTGAAGAAGTGAAGAAGTGAAGAAGTGAAGAAGTGAAGAAGTGAAGAAGTGAATAGGTTAAGTGCTAAAGTGGTGAATAGGTTAAGTGGTTAAGTGCTAAAGTGGTTAAGTGCTAAAGTGGTTAAGTGCTAAAGTATCGAAGGCAAAGTCAAAGTCAAAGTCAAAGTATGTACCGGCACTGCCCTATAAGTGTTTAGTCATACCTCCAGTCTAATCTTCCCATAGGTCGGTCTGACACAGGAATTAGCTAAATAAACCAAATTCCATCCGATCATGAACTTCATAAACCAAAAGCATAACAAAACAATGTTGTGTATGTCGAAGGTATAAGTTGAATATAGGTATAGGGTATTGGGTATTGGGTATTGGGTACAAGTGTCTGTACTGAGTGCTGATGTCGGTGCTCGGGTATTTGTTGCTGTATATTGGTATTGTAGTAAAAGTAAGTGCTGGAGTGTCAAAGTTATTGAAAATGAAGATGAAGTTGAAGTTGAAGTTGAAGTGTATGTCAAAGGTGGATGTTGAATGAAGGCATGAGTATGAGTATGAGTATGAGTATGAGTATGAGTATGAGTATGAGTATGAGTATGAGTATGAGTATGAGTATGAGTATGAGTATGAGTATGAGTATGAGTATGAGTATGAGTATGAGTATGAGTATGAGTATGAGTATGAGTATGAGTATGAGTATGAGTATGAGTATGAGTATGAGTATGAGTAATGAGTATGAGTATGAGTATGAGTATGAGTATGAGTATGAGTATGAGTATGAGTATGAGTATGAGTATGAGTATGAGTATGAGTATGAGTATGAGTATGAGTATGAGTATGAGTATGAGTATGAGTATGAGTATGAGTATGAGTATGAGTATGAGTATGAGTATGAGTATGAGTATGAGTATGAGTATGAGTATGAGTATGAGTATGAGTATGAGTATGAGTATGAGTATGAGTATGAGTATGAGTATGAGTATGAGTATGAGTATGAGTATGAGTATGAGTATGAGTATGAGTATGAGTATGAGTATGAGTATGAGTATGAGTATGAGTATGAGTATGAGTATGAGTATGAGTATGAGTATGATTATAAGTATTAAGTACAAGTATTCGTACTGACTGCTGAAGTCGGTGCTGGGGTAATTGTCGAAGTGGTTGTCGAAGTTGTTGTCGAAGTTGTTGTCGAAGTTGTTGTCGAAGTTGTTGTCGAAGTTGTTGTCGAAGTTGTTGTCGAAGTTGTTGTCGAAGTTGTTGTCGAAGTTGTTGTCGAAGTTGTTGAAGAAGTTGTTGAAGAAGTTGAAGAAGTCAAATGCATATACCGGCACCTCTCTGTAATTGTTTTGTCATGCCCCCAGTCTAGTCTTTCCATGGATCGGTCTGACACAGGAATCAGCTAAATAAACCAAATTCCATCCGATCATGAACCTCATAAACCAAAAGCATAACAAAACAATGTCGTGTATGTCGAAGATGGATGTTGAATGAAGGTATGAGTAAGGGTATCAAATAGAAATATTGGTACTGGAGTGGTGAAGTGGTGAAGTGGTGAAGAGGTGAAGAGGTGAAGTGAAGAAGTCCTAAAATGCTAAAGAGGTTAAGTACTAAAATTGTTAAGCACTGAAATGGTGAAGTGATAAAGTGTCGAAGTCGAAGTCGAAGTCAAAGTCAAAGTCAAAGTATATACTGGCACCGCCCCTATAAGTGTTTTGTCATGCCCCCAGTCTAGTCTTTCCATGGATCGGTCTGACACAGGAATCAGCTAAATAAACCAAACTCCATCCGATCATGAACTTCATAAACCAAAAGCATAACAAAACAATGTCGTATATGTCGAAGCTATAAGTTGAATATAGGTATAGGGTATTGGGTATTGGGTACAAGTGTCGGTACCTGGGTGCCGGTGTCGGTGCATGAGTAAGTTCGTGTACTAATATATGTCGGTATCGGTACTGGGTCTCGGGTAAGTTGTCATCGTATATGTGCTGGAATATTTTGGTACTTGTTGAAGGTCTCGGGTAAGTTGTCATCGTGTATGTGCTGGTGTATGTCGGTACTCGGGTAAAGGTAACTGTTGGAGTGTCGAAGTCGAAGTCAAAGTCAAAGTATGTACCGGCACCTCCCTATAAGTGTTTCGTCATGCTCCCAGTCTGATCTTCCCATAGGTCGGTCTGACACAGGAATTAGCTAAATAAACCAAACTCCATCCGATCATGAACTTCATAAACCAAAAGCATAACAAAACAATGTCGTATATGTCGAGGCTATAAGTTGAATATAGGTATAGGGTATTGGGTACAAGTGTCGGTAACTGGGTGCCGGTGTCGGTACAGGGATAAATTCGTGTAATAATATATGTCGGTATCGGTACTGGGTCTCGGGTATATGCTGGGTTATGAGTCTCGGTGCTGGGATACATGGGAATGTTATTAAGCTGTTGTTGCTGTTGCTGGTAAAACATTTGACAAGAGTATCATTATAGTTGTTGGTAGTAAGGTAAAGAGGTATAGTAGCCATGTGATGCTCTAAGTATTGATCGAAATAAGAGTCATTTATCAAGGAAAGAAATGATATGTGAAGAAGAAGAAGAAGAAGATGATGATGATGATTGTTATGAAGAAGAAGTTGTGAAGAGTGAATGGAAAGAAGAAAGAAAATAAAATTGAAAAGACAGGGGAAAAGCTTTGTTTATATACCTCTCCTCTGGGTCCTTCATTTCCCATTAATATCAAACAATTAAAAAAGAACAACAATTGTCAAGTTTGAATGTTTTTTCATCCAGTTTTATCTAGTTTTATCCAATTAAAGTAATTATAATAATTGAAGTAATTGAAGTAATTAATAATGATATAGGTCAATCGTTATGTTGCTTTATTACAGGATCAAAAAAGGGTCCTTGTTTTTTTCTTTGAGTTTCTCAGTGAATGAAAGATTGAATTATCTAACTCTGTATATATATATATATATATATAGCATTTCATTATAATATTATTAAAATTATTGACTTATATTCTTTTCATTTTTTTTATTTCAAAAAAAAAAAGAAAGAACCAATTAATTTTTTTTTTTTTTAAAATTGGAGTTTTCAGATTCTTTTAAAATTCATTATATCCTAGAATTTTTACAAACATGTTAATGTTGTGTAAAATTTGAATTTTTTTTTTTCTGATTTTTTAATTTTTAATTTTTGATGAATTTTCCAAATTAAGCCATTAATGTTTCTTTTTCTTTTTCTTTTTCTTTTTCTTTTTTTTTTTTTTTTGTTACAACTTGTTATTACAAAATATCTTAATTCATTTGTAACAATCTTTTGTACCAAAAAAAAAAAAGTTCCAATTTAGCCGCACATATACAAATCCCACACACACACACACACACACACACACACACACACACACACACACACACACACACACAAATGTCTAAGATTTTCACGTGACCTTGTTTTCTGTTTAAGACACCGAAACAAAACCATGGCAGACCAGGTAGAAAAAAAAAAAAAAAAAAAACTTTAACGGCAGCAACTGGCATATTTTTAGTAAAGCAGCCACCACCACCACCATTAAAAAAAAAAAAAGCCCTCTTTGCTTATCAGTAAATAATTCATTCATTCATTCATTCATTCATTCATTCACAAACTTTTGCTTTCTCCTTTTTTTTTCTTCCCCCCCCATACTTATCACTAAACTTATTTCCAATTTATAATTTTTTTTCTAAACTAAATTCTCTTCAATATCCTTTCTTTCTTTCTTTATTTCTATATAGCCATTCACCATGGGCGTTCCAGTGGTAAGTTGTTTTTTTATTTCTTCTTCTCTTATCTTAAATCCTTTTTTTTTTTTTTTTTTTTTTTTTTTTTTTTTTCTTTCTCTCTCTTCTCTTTGTTAACAACCGTCTCTTCCTAGTCCCTTATTGTCTCGCTCATGCTCATCACAGGATGCTCAAACTCGCTCCTGACCAAGTTCCAAGATAAGCAATGTATTTCCAATTGCTCAGCTCCTCCTCCAGAACGTAATCACTTTGACCAACCCGTTGTCCAAACCGTCCAAATGTTTATTGCCGAACTAGGTGTTGGCCTCGTGGTCTTGTATACCCACCTTGCACAGAAATATAAAGCTTCTTCTTCCAAATCACAGCAGCAACCAAGCCGCGATCAGTACGAAGAACTCCCATCCACAGACACAGAAACTACCCTTGATAACCATCCAGCTTCTAATGTTTCCACGCTTACCGGGAAACGCGTGTTTTTGCTTGCTATTCCTGCTACATGCGACATTTTGGGTACCACTCTTATGAATGTTGGATTACTGCTTGTTCCTGTTTCCATATATCAAATGGTCCGCGGCGCTGTTGTTTTGTTTGTGGGCTTGTTTTCTGTATTGTTTCTTAAGCGCAAACTTTTCCGCAAACAATGGTACGCCCTGTTGGCCGTGTTTGGCGGCGTGTTTGTTGTTGGTTTAAGTGCCATGTACAACTCATCTTCGGCAACAAGCAACGACACTTCCAATGACACCCCAGATCCTGCAGCCAAGGATGCTGCTGTTCAGGCGACTATTGGCATTTCCATGATTTTATTGGCACAGGTTTTTGCCGCCACGCAGTTTGTACTGGAAGAGTTTATTCTTGAAAAGTACGCCATGAACCCGTTTAATGTAGTTATGTGGGAGGGTGTTTTTGGTACAAGTATCACGTTAATTGGGTCTCTTTTGATTTTCGCTTTGTTTGTCAAGAACCCAGATGGTTCCATGTTTAACCTGGTCCAGGGTATTAAGGAGATGTTTAGTAATAAGGCTGTGCTAATTTCTTCAATTATCATTATGTTTATGATGTCAACGTTTAATGTCACAGGGATGGCAGTGACAAGAATTATTAGCGCAACGTCTAGATCCACAATTGATACCTCACGAACCGTGGGCATTTGGCTCGTGTCTCTCATCATTGGCTGGGAAACATTCCAGTTCTTGCAACTGCTTGGATTCTTGTTGCTTGTATATGGAACACTGTTGTTTAATGGAATCATTGATAATGATGATGAGGTTAAGGAGAATGTGGATGAGCTGTTGCCCCACGAGTTTGAGCATACTTAAGAGATTTTAGAAGGAATCAAACCTCTTCTGCTGGGCAGAAGAACAATATTTATTATACATGTTTAATAGATTATTGAAAAAAAAAATTTTTTTTTTTTTTTTTATCTTTATCTTTTTTGAATAATTTACAATTACAGCTCGTTGGCTGGAGGAAGATGGTTGCAGACCCATGATATGGTCTTATTGGAGTGTTGTCTAAAGTTTTCCAACCTCGCACAAGCTTCGTCAAGAGAGCATTGATGGTGTAATCTGACCTTATCAATCAACGTGATTAATGTTTTCCTTCTACGAAACGATCGCGCTTGCTTGAGTTGGATAAAGTAGTGAGTCCCAAAAGTTGTGCGAAGATACGCTTCTTGTTCGCGGATAGATGGGTTCCCACGGATCCCCTGGGTAAACTCAATGTACGCTTCTTTGAACGATTTGAGAGTCTTGATTTCCTCGATCCGCAGTTCGTAGTATTTGGCATGCGGGTGAGCAGCCCTACCTCGAGCCACGTTACGTGCGTGCGCTGAATCTTTGGCATCGCGCCGTCGCAAAAGAAGCGCTGCTGCTTGGTTGTGAGTTGTATCCATGGTTTCACCTAGAATCCCGACACCAAGATCCAGACCATTGCCATGTCCCGCATTAGAGAGCCCACGCGAAGTCGCGTCATCCGAATCTTCTCCATCCGTTAACCCAGAGTTGGCAAGAGTCTCAAGATCAAGCATCCCGGCATTTATGCTGCCCACCAGACTCGCCGCAGTCACATCATTCGAGTCGAGTGATGGATGAAGACCGTGATGTAGCCCCAAGACCTCAGGATTATTGAGGCCAGAGGACCCTGAAACAGAAGATGATGAGGATGACGTTGAACCATTTCCTGTGGTTGTAGGGACTACTGCCGTGTTTGCAGCCGCCGAAGCTGCGGCCGCCGCCGCGGCTGCAGCTGCAGCTGCAGCTGCAATGGAACTATTGTTTAATCTTCCAGGAGGCCTCCCTCGTCGCCCACGTTTTGCTGGTTGTCCAGACCCCCGCTCTTTCCTTGTAGTTCCTCTTGTATGTTGTTGCCCCAATTGCCCCAAAATTTTGTCTTTAGATTCATTTTCAATCTGTCCCTTTTCATTTTCATTAAGACTTGCAATTTTCTCCGACTCTTTTCCCAAGGAATTTTCATCTCCAATAGCAGAAGAAGCCGAAGAAGAAGAAGAAGACCCCGAAGAAGCAGCTGACCCATTGACCAGTTGTGATAGACACAACATATCACCTGTATTATTGCTGCCCACAGACCGCCCCCCACTGGTGGTTGTACTGTTTGTACTGTTACTTCGTCCTCTACCAACATTCACAGAATTCCCAACTACTGAATTACGATTGCTTCGGGCAAACCCATTACTGCCACTAATCTGGGGTTGGTTGGCTTCATTTTTAATTTGTTGAGGTGAAGATTCTTCGTGGCCTGTAGTTAGATGATGCTGAGTGAGGCTCGAGGGAGCAATGTGGGGAAGCCCATGAAAATGTTGTCCGGGTCCTGACACGGACCCCCTTAAACTTCTGTTGTTGTTGTTGTTGTTGTTGTTGCTACTTGTGTTGTTGTTGTTGCTACTTGTGTTGTTGTTGTTGCTACTTGTGTTGTTGTTGTTATTGTTATTGTTGTTACTTTGGTTGTTATTACTGCCACTGTTACTCGCCAGCGAGTTAGATGTAGCCGAAGATGCTCCGTTGCCTGCACCGTTACCACCTACGGCTGCAGCACTACCACCACTGACCGAGGATTCCAATGTTGAATTGCCATTGGTACTAACTTGGGGTGATAATGATGGATGTTGTTGTTGTGATTGTGATTGTTGTTGCTGCTGTTGAATAGTAGAAATTCCATATTGAGCAAATGTCCCGTGGGGGTCATGACTCAAATGGCTAGCTCCAGAAGACGAAGAGACCACCGAGGTTGAGCCAGATTGAGGGTTATGTTGATGGTCCGTAGCATGTCTATTGAAAGGGTTTGTAAAGTGCGACATGAGGTCATGTTCATCTAGAGCCATATCTGTATCTGCTTCATCTCCTCCTACTCCTACTCCTACTCCTCTTCCACCAGCTCTAGGGTTGTTGGTTGAATTTGTTGTAGTACCTGTTGACACATCTGTTGAAGAAGTTGCAGTAGCGGCAGCAACAGCGGCGACGGCAGCAGCAGCAGCAGCAGCTCGGTTCAGATGCTGTACAAATTGCTGTTCAATAGTTTGAGAGTCTGGATGAGTGGGGTGTTGTTGTTGTGATGCGCTGGAAGTTGAAGTACCAGTACCTTGAGTAGGTACTCCTTGAGGAGAAACATGCTGTTGCTGGTACAAGTTTGTATTACTTTGAGGTGTGCCCAACTCATTTCCATTTAGTATAGTTGCCACGTTAGTAGAAGCATTAGCAGGAGCTCCAGCAATTGGAGATGTTGTTGCTGTTGAATTTCGAGGATTTGATGATGAAGATGTTGATGTTATTGACGATGATGTTGTAGTTGCAGTTGTAGTAGTAGTTGTAGTTGTTGAGGATGTTGCAGCAGCCCCGCTCTTGACCTCACCCCCTCTTTCGTCACGCAACAGGCCCCCACTTATTTCCCGGGTATCAAATAACGAATGATGATGGTGATGATGATTGGGTGTACTTAAAATATTTAGTGAGCCTTGATGAGAGTGATCGATGGATGATCTATGTTGGGCAATCTGTTGTTGTAATGAGCTTTGCCTTCTATGATGGCTAAAGCTTGAGCGAGTAGACCCCGCGGAGTTTGCAGCCACGGGGGAGCTGTTATTCCCCGAGAGGCCAAGCCCGAGATCAGTAGAGTCTGTATTTAAAGAAAGACCTAAAGAGAGTTGCGGAGGGCCAATTCCATGATCATTTGTAAGGTGACTAACTGGGTGGTTATTTTTATTGATGTTGTTGTTGTTACTAATGCTGCTACTGCTACTACTGTTTGTATTATTGCTGCTTGTGTTACCAATGTTGCTAATGGTACTACTGATACTCAGACGGTCTTTATGAAGTTTCTTACTATGATGAAGATTATTATTATTATTATTATTATTATTATTATTATTATTATTATTATTATTATTAATATTATCATTATCGTTATTATTATTATTATTAATATTATCATTATCGTTATTATTACTATTACTATTATTATTATTATTAACATCGGACTCCAGGTCGGATGGATAGTCAGTAGCAAATTCTTCATTAAGACTAATGGTTGAGTTAACCAGGTTTCCTAAATGGCCAGCAATGGATTCAGATAAGGCGTTGATATTTAGAGAGTTTGATGAAGATGCAAGGGGATTATTATTAGTAGTAGTATTAGTATTTGATTGATTTGTATTAGTTATAGAAACCACAGCAGCAGTTGCAGCACCGAGTTCCTTTGCTAATGTTGCTGTTGCTTTTGAATGCTCATATTGAATTCTGAGAAGAGTTTGGACACGATTGTCAAGAAGTGCCAAGGCCCTGGCCGTTTTATCGTTTTGTTTTTTGAGCAGTTGGACATCTGCTTGTTGGGTTTTAAGTACGTTACTAATATGGGCTGTTGTTTGGTTTGGTTGTTGGGAATTGATTGAGTTTGTTAGATTAGCAATGACTTGGGCCAGCTGGTCATGAAGATTCATATCACGTTGGTTAAGATTTTGAAGAAGAGTTCGACATTCGGTAAGTAAATCATGTGGTTGTGGCTGTTGTTGTTGTTGGTAAGGGCTGACTGAAGGTCTCTGAGGCGACCCTTGAGATTCTGATTGTTTTATTTGAAAGGAAAAGGCATTTCCAAGAGTCAATTGAGGTAGATGTTGTTGGTTTGCTTGGGATGTAGCAGAATAATTTGAGTAGAACTGAGTAGGTTGTTGTTGTTGCTGGTGTTGCTGGTGTTGCTGACTTTGAGAAGAAGATTGTTGGTTAAAAGTAGCTTGAGAAAGTTGATTTTGAGATTGCAACTGAGCCTGTTGTTGTTGTTGCTGTTGCTGTTGTTGAGAATTGTATAGATTAGAGCCTATGGGTGAAGGTAGACACTGAGTATTTGTAGGACTTGGATGAGAGCTTTGAAGGATTGTTGGTGGATGGTGATGTTGTATTGGATGTTGTGGTTGTGGCTGTGAGAGATGATGAAGATGTTGCTGTTGCACAGAGTGGACAACGTCTGAAGAGGTTACAGCCGCGGAGGGATGAACAGACGAAAGGTCCATTGTTTTTTTTTTTTTTTTGTTTTTTTTTTTTTTTCGGGATAATTTAATTATAGGAAAGAAATAGCAAAGAATCTAAAGATTGAGTTTTTATTTTGTCTAGTAGTAGTATTTGGTGTATATAAGATTAATTATTATGATTATAATTATTAATATTAAAAGTTGTAAAATGGAGATGATGATAATGATAATGATGATGATGATAATACCATAAAAAAAAAAAATTAAAAATTAAAAAGAGAAGAGAAAATTGGAGTATTTTTTTTTTTTTTTTTTTTTTTAGAGTAAACTTTTTTAAGGCTTTGTGTATGTTAGTTTTTTAAAAAAAAAAAAAAAAAAAATTAAATAAATAAAGGAAGCAACTGAAAATGCGGGGTGAAGGTTTTTGTTTTGTTTTAATTTTGTAATTATTTTTTTAATTATTTTTTTTAATTATTTTTTTTAATTATTTTAATTATTTTTTTTTATTTTTTTTTTTTTTCTAGTTTTTGTTTAGAAGTATCTGAGACTGTATTTTTTTTATTTTGTACTTTGTACTTGGTACTTTGTACTTTGTATATACAAATAAATAAGTAAGTAATTAAGTAAGTAAGTAAGTATTGTCACCCACCACCTTATAAAAAAATGAAATACGTGCTTGTTTTTTTCCGCTTAAAAAAAGGAAAAAAAAATATATATTTAACAAAATGAATTTAAATTTAAATTTAAAATTGAATTGAATTGAATTGAATTGAATTGAATTAAAATAATAAAATGTTATGATAATAGTATTATTGAATTGTTATTTTAAATTTAATTATAATTAATTTAATTAAGTTTTAAAGTTTTTACTTTTGCTTTCTCTTTAAAAAAAAAAAAAAAAAAAAAAAAAAATAGTCCAATCCAATAATATTCACCCATTTTTTTATTATTTTTATTATTATTTTTTTTTTATTTTCAATGCCTTTCACCCCGCCTTTTTGCTGATTTTTTATTTTCTAAAATAGTTGTTAATTATATATATTATTACCTCCCCTCTTTTTTTTTTTTTTTTTTTTTGTTCCCAAAAAAGAATGACCCGCTTACCCCTCCATCACAAATTTAATTAATTAATTACAAACTTTTCTTTTTTTTTTAATAAACTTGTAACAAAAATACCTGCCCCTTTTTTTTTTTTTTATTTTTCAAGCGCCGTTCTTTCTCATTCTCACACTCATACACTTGCTAAATAGCAAACAAAGAGTAAAATAATAACAAAAATAACCCCCACTAAGATAAGTTAATAAAAAAATAAACAATAATTGTTAAATGACACAGACAGGAATCGAACCTGCAGCCTTTGGATTTGGAATCCAATGCTCTACCATTGAGCCACTGCATCACTTTGATAAAAAATTTAAATATTGCAAATACAAAAGACGAATGACATTATTACGCTTTAACAATTTAAAAAAAATTTCTTTAAAAGGCATGAAGAAAGATAGTCGAAGGATCTTGAGTAATATTACTCTGTTTCGCACAGGCCATGGCAACTTTGGCGCATGGTTTAAAAAGTTTGGAATTGAAAAGGATAGTTACAACTGCAAATGTGGAGAGCTGGAAACAGTTCATCACATTTTAGTTGAGTGTCCTTTGCTTGAAGAGGAAAGAAAAGGACTGAAACGGATATCTCCAAAGATGGACATGTCGACTCTCTTAAACAGTTTAACTGGCTTACAAGAGATTGTAAGCTTTATCTCTGCTTGGAGGGATTAAGAAATACAATTACAGCGTTGATGAAGACAAGTGGAGATAGGTTGGGAAGGTTTGGTTATTTTAACCCCCTGTTCCTCGTAAGCTGGCATCAGGACTTATTTTCGGGCTGTTGGAGATGCAATGTTGAAGCCAAAATTAAAAGTTTATTATCAAAATGAAAAAATATATAGTATGGACAAGAAGGATAGCGCAGATGCTGATGTTATATAATTCTATAACCCTTGAATAAAAACAAACAAACAAACAAACAAACAATTTCTTTAAAAAAATAAAATAAAATAAAATAAAATAAAACAAAATTTAAAATTTAATTTAATTTAGTAACTTTTTTATCAAAAAAATATTATTTTTATATAAAAATTGCTCAAAATACTATTAAATATAAATATTGTTTTATTTAAAGCACAGAACTTTTATACTACATCATCATCATGATCAGAAATAATAAAAGAAATTTTATATATGACGTAATTATTATATTTATATTTATATTTATATTTATATTTATATTTATATTTATATTTATATTTATATTTATATTTATATTTATATTTATATTTATATTTATATTTATATTTATATTTATATTTATATTTATATTTATATTTATATTTATATTTATATTTATATTTATATTTATATTTATATTTATATTTATATTTATATTTATATTTATATTTATATTTATATTTATATTTATATTTATATTTATATTTATATTTATATTTATATTTATATTTATATTTATATTTATATTTATATTTATATTTATATTTATATTTATATTTATATTTATACTTATGATTATGATTATCAAGTATCCCAAATCTCAATTTCAATTACTTGTCTTTTTTTTTTTTTTTTTCTCTCTCTATTTTGTTGTCATCATCAATATCAACATTTTCAAAAAAAAAAAAAAAAAAAAAAATAATAAAGAAAATAAAAATAATTGAAATCATGAAATCTCTGTTTTTTTTTTTTTTTTTTTTTTTTAGAAAATTCTAGGAAGTTTTTTTTTTTTTTTTTTTTTAATTAAATCAAATGACATATTTGAATTCAAGTCCTTCTCTTTTTTTTTTTTTTTTTTTTTTTTTTTTTTTCTTTCATTTAAACTCTGGCCCCTCCATAAGTTTGATGAGTTCACTTGACCTACTTTAAGAACAATAATAGTTTGCTTGATTTGCTTGATTTGCTTGATTTGCTTGATTTGCTTGATTTGCTTGATTTGCTTGATTTGCTTGATTTGCTTGATTAACAGTTTAAAAGCCAATTTACTACTATATATACTAAAAACGCAAAAAAATCCAAAACTGGATCTTTATATAAGTAGTTATATATATTTAAACATTTTGTTCATATATATCCTTTTGGAAGAGATGCTACGCCGTACGTATGTACGTGACAACTATCATCATACCAGGGTTTATATATTTACCTATCAATATATCTATCTGTCTATCTGTCTATCTATCTATCTTTATAGTAATACTACAAATGTTCGAGGAAAATAAAAAAAAAAAAAAGATAACTGGACGGAATAAAAAAAAATTTTAAAATTTAAAAGTTCTTTGTTTTTTTTTTTTTTGATACTGAAAATACCTGAATTTCTAGACTAGGTTTAGTTGAGTGACTTTTTTTTTTTTTTTTTTCACAAGGTTTAAAAGTAAAGCCCAGAGTTTATTTTTTGTTGTAAATAAATAAATAAATAATTGAATGATATCATATTGTTGTTGCCTTTTATTTATATAACTATATAACTATACTATTATATATAATATATAATATTTTCTTAAAGATTAAACAATTTTTTTTTTGTTCTTCCCCGCTTAAAGAAAAAAAAAAAAATGAAAAGAAATTAAAGAAGTTTTGTGGTGATTTTCATTTTTCTTCTTATATTTATATATTTATATATTTATATATTTATATTTTCTATATAGTAAAATATTTCTCTTATGAAATTTCTTTTAACATATATATATTTATTATATTTATATTTATATAGTAACGATGATGATGTAAAAAAAAAAAAAAAAAAAAAAAAAAAAAAAAAAAAAAAAAATCATAAAAAACTTTCTTTTACACTTCAACTGCAATTGCAATTGCAATTGCAATTCACCCCTCCCCCTCATTTTTTATTAAACTTTTCTTATACACTGTTTTATCGCTAAAAAAAAAATTTTTTTTTTTTTTAAACAAATGACCCTGAAAGAAGTTTTTCTTTTTTTTTTGTTTTTTGTTTTTAACCCCACAATATTAAATTAAAAAAAAAATTATTTTTTTTAAAAACAAAAAAAAAAAAATAAAATTAATAAATATAAAAAAAGTTATATCGACACCAGCAGGACTCGAACCTGCGAGGGAAATCCCAAAAGATGCCTTGAACGTATTCAAGTCTTTCGCCTTAACCGCTCGGCCATAGTGCCCGTTGTAACTTAGATGTTAGTCTTCTTAGTAGATCTTGAATTAACACAATAATAAATGAAAACTTTTGTAAACAAATGGACAATGTTTTGTGTTTTTATAGTATTAAACCTTATTTAAATTTACAAAACATTTAAAATTGTTTATAAAATTTTTTTATAAACCCTTTAATTTTTAATGTTTTCTCCTTAAATGCACTCTACAACTTTAACACACTAAAGCCCTTTGCCCCCCCTTTGATAACAACCGACTCACGAGATTTCCCTTTTCGGGCATGCCACGATTCAATCACTTTTATTTTTTATTTTTTATTTTTTTTTATTTTTTTTATTTTTGACCTTTCTCGAGCTTCCCTAACAAGGATGGCTGCAGGTATATCGCTAAGTATTCCCATACAAATTCCAAACAAATAAACAAAAAAGACCCATTTAGGTATGTTGATGGTATATTACAAGCATTACTAACTTATAAGTCAAGCCCTAAACAAAAAAAAATTATCAACATCAAATACTACACACACAAAAGCAATCAAAGTGGGCGCGTAAATTGTATTAAAATAATAATAATAGATGAATGGATGCATTTACTTTATCGTGCGTGGCACTCAAGAACTGGGCGGTAGAAGTAGAAGTAACAGCACTAGCAGCACCAGCAGCACCAGCAGCACCAGCAGCACCAGCAGCACCAACAGCCCTAGCAAAAAAGAAAAAAAAAATATTTTGGAATTAGAACCGTTTTTCACGCAACCGTTTTATTTATTTATTTATTTTTTTTTTTTATCATAGACAGATATCTGTTGTTGCTGCAAAATAACCTTCTTTTCCCTTCTGGTCAATCAAAATCATTTAAAATCTCAAGATAATCAAAAGCTTTATACATTTAATATCTACATCCATCCCCAATATATTTTTTTTATATATATAGATACCTTATATTTGCATTTCAATATATATATATATATGTATAGAAATAGAATCCATCACCTATTTATAATATATATATAACCATGAAAGCCACTTTTAAAGGCTTCTTTGGCAAACAAAATATAACAGACACTAACTATGACCAACAACAACAACAACAACAACAGCAACAACAACAACAGCAACCAGCTCAGTCCATACCGGTAACACCTCCAGCTCCAGCTGCACTGCCTGCACTGACTCCTGGCCAGGGTCTCGACTATGATGACAATATCTCACTAACAGAGTACTTCAGACAGACCGACCAGGCTTCTATCCATAGCAACTATACAGACTACCTTGAAACCATCCATACAAACGACAATAACAATAACATCAACCAAACTTCCAGTCGAAACTATCATACCCCAAGGAGGTCCCAAACAAGACCTCCATCAACCTCAGGCTCTGTCTCACAAACTTCAAATTCACAGCTGTTACTCCGATCCCCTAAAACATCCCCTTCTCCTCCTCCTTCATCTACAAGTCGCTTAACCCATAAAGTCAAGACCAAACTTTTCCCCAAATACTCAACATCTCAATCAAATGCCCATCTCGATAACATCTCGGAATCATCACCTGTAACTCCCACAGCTTCTAACGCTACTTCATCCTCCACAACCACTCACCAACCTCCACAACCCTTGCCATACCGCCCAGACTCTCATACTAATACTAATACCAATAATAATAATGCTGCTGACGATGAGGCTGCGGGTTACTACACAGCTCTTAATGAGATTCTCTATGACCGCCGAAGTTCACTAGCACCTTCTTCTGTTTCTGATTCCAAAAATAATGTCCGTTTCCAAGCCATGTCAACCCGAAGCAAAAAAAAACGACGCAAAAAATCTGGTTGGGCTCAGTTTAAAGATTCCTTTACGATAGTCAATAACAATAACAATAACAATAACAATAACAATAATAATAACAACAACAACAATAGCCACTTCAAATCATACAACTACTCTTACTCCTCTTCAGACGAAGAAGAAGAAGAAGAAGAAGAAAGGGACCTCGAAAATAACAATAATGCTAACAGCAGACTAGACGCCGGCGTCCATGCAACAGCTGAAGCCCCACTTGTCCGCGGCCTCAAGCCCCGCCACATGCAGATGATTGCCTTTGGCGGTGCCATCGGCACCGGTCTCTTTATCCGCTCAGGTTCTTCACTTGCCACTGGTGGTCCTGCATCGCTTGTCATTGGTTTCACTCTCACCGGTATCATGCTAACTTTTACGATCCAGGCGCTGGGCGAACTGGCCGTCCAGTTCCCCGTATCCGGTTCCTTTTCCACCTACGCGTCGCGTTTCTTGGACCCAGCTTGGGGGTTTGCCATGGGATGGAACTATGCTATCCAGTGGCTTACAGTTTTCCCTCTTGAACTTGTTGCTGCCGCAATCACAATCAAATACTGGGCCCCAAGCGATAGATATAGTGCTGCAGATGTCAACTCTGCAGCTTGGATCTCACTCTTTATCTTCTTCATTGCCGCTTTTAATCTCTTCGGCGTCAAGGTCTTTGGCGAAATCGAATTCTTCTTTTCCATCATCAAAATCTGTGCAATCTCAGGCTTCATCATCATGGGTATCGTCCTCATCTCGGGTGGAGGCCCCAACCACGGTTATATTGGTGGCCACTACTGGCACGACCCGGGCTCCTTTGCCAACGGCTTCAAAGGTGTAGTTGCAGCTTTTGTAAACGCAGCCTTTTCCTACATTGGCACTGAACTTTCAGGTCTTGCTGCTGCAGAAGCCAAAAACCCTCGGCGAGCAGTCCCCTCCGCCGTGAAAAAGGTATGCTGGAGAATCATTCTCTTTTACATCGTCTCTCTCATCATTGTCGGCTGCCTCGTCCCCTACACAGATCCAAGACTTACCAGCACTGAAAATGTTCAAGAATCAAAGTCTCCACGCTCTTCTGTCGTCGATGTATCTACATCCCCATTTGTCATCGCCATCAAGGAAGCAGGTATAAAGGGTCTTCCTTCAGTTTTTAACGCCGTCATTCTCATTTCGGTTCTTTCTGTAGCTAGTTCCTCTGTTTATGCTGCCTCCCGTTCAATCGCAGGTCTAGCAGCCATGGGCCAGGCCCCTAAACAATTCTCTTACATTGACAAGGCTGGCCGGCCCATCTATGCTCTCTTGTTTTCCCTCATGTTTGGGTTTCTTGCCTATGTAAGTGCTTCTAATAAAGAGGCCGAGGTCTTTAACTGGCTTCTTTCATTGTCTGGTCTCTCGTGTATCTTCACCTGGGGGTCCATTTGTCTCTGCCATATCCGGTTCAGACAAGGCCTCAAAGCACAAGGCCGTAATACTGGTGAGCTTGCGTTCAAAGCTCCACTGGGAATCTGGGGGTCTCTTATCGGGTTTCTCATCAACATTGTCATTCTAGGTCTGCTTGTCTGGATCGGTCTTTTCCCCATCGACTCAGATTCCGCAGACCCTAAAGCTTTCTTTGAAGTTTACCTGGCAGGTCCAATCATCCTTCTCTTTTACCTCCCTTACAAGCTGTACTACAAAACAAAAGTCCTCAAGGCAAAGGAAATGGACCTAGACACGGGCCGCCGCCAACACGACGTTGAAATCCTCCAACTCGAGCTGGCCGAAGAAGAACTCCGCAAGAAAAACCGCGGAAAACTTTACTATTTTTATAATATTTGGTGTTAATTCTTTAATTCTCTAAATCTTTTAAAATAAAATAAAATAAAATAAAATAAAATAAAAAAAATTAACCTTCCTTTCAAGCTTTACCCTCTCTATTATAATTCTCGTAAAACTCAATCATCTCCTTAGTGATCCCCCGCTTGATCCCGGCCAAAGCTTCCTGCATGTGACGATCATAGATGCACTTGATATCCAGATCTTCATTCATTGCAAGCAACCCTGCTTCTTGGCAAAATTGTACAATCTCAGCGCCAGAACATCCTTGGGTAGCCTCTGCAAGTTCGTCAATCTTCACATCCTCTCCGACTGCCATTTTCTTAAACTGAATCTCCAAAATCTTTTTGCGGGCTTCAAAATCTGGTGGCCCCACATAAATTAATCGATCAAGACGCCCTGGACGCATCAGAGCTGCATCAATAACATCTGGCCGGTTCGTCGCTGCAAGTACAGTTACTCCTACAAGTGTCTCAATACCATCCATCTCGTTCAACAGTGATGTCAACACCCGGTCACTGCTACCACCACCTCCTCCATCCTCTCTCGAAGCACTTAGCGCGTCAATCTCATCAAAGAAAATAATAGAAGGAGCTGCTGCTCGTGCTTTGCGAAACACATCACGCACAGCTCGTTCACTTTCTCCTACATACTTGTTAAAAATCTCAGGCCCCTTAACCGCCAAAAAGTTGAGTCCTGCTTCGGTCGCAAGAGCCTTGGCCGTCAACGTCTTGGAGCACCCAGGAGGACCGTATAACAAAATACCCTTGGGTTGATGTACACCTAGTCGCTTGAATGTCTCTGGATGTGACAATGGCCAATCCACTGTTTCTTTAAGCTTTTGTTTCACTTCCTCCTGCCCACCAATATCAGTCCAGTACACTTTAGGAGTCTCCAAAACTATTTCACGCATTGCACTTGGCCGCACCTCCAGCAATGCGCGGGCTGCATCCTCGCTTGTGATGTACATTTCTTCCGGTGGCAAGTCCTGAGCGAGTCCTCGGTCAATAGCCAGGCTTACACACTGTCCCACCAGTGCGCTAATATCTGCGCCCACGTAGCCGTGCATTTTGGTTGCCGCTAGTTCCACAACCTGTTCTTCAGATAACTTGTGTGGCATTCCATGCAGCATCAGCTGCAGAATTTCTACGCGGTCCTGCGCGTCGGGAATCCCAATCTCGATTTCTTGGCCGAATCTTCCGGCGCGCCGCAGCGCAGGATCGATCGAGTTGGGCCGGTTTGTGGCTCCGATTACAATCACCCGGTTGCTACTGCTACTGCCGCTACTGCTGCCGCCCGCCTTTCCGCCCCGGTGGTTGCTATCCATCAATGTCAACAGCGTGGACACAACGCGTGACTCGGCTTCGCCTGCATCGTCAGATCCTCTTCGCGGGACAAGCGCATCGATCTCGTCAATGAAAATAAGAGCAGGCTGGTATCGGCGGGCCTCTGCAAACACCTGACGCAGCGCAGCCTCTGTTTCGCCCAAGTACTTGGACACAATTGACGGCCCGTTGATGGTAAGCACATGTGAATTCATTTCGTGTGCAATTGCATTTAGCAGCATGCTTTTACCAGTACCTGAGGGGCCATGTAAAAGAAACCCTGTTTCCGGAGATGTGTTGTTAAAACGTTCAAAGAGGTTAGGGTGGTTGAGCGGAAGCTTGATTTTCGATTGCAAAAGAGCAATTTGTTTGGACATGCCGCCAATGTCTTTAAAGCTGGGAAGCACAGGTAATTGAACATTGTAAGGGGTCATTGTTTTATTGGTAAACTCAAGAGTACTCTTGTTGTTGAATAAAAATACAGGGGTAACCAAGTCATCATTGTCGTCCTTCTCAGCCCCATCAGAGACCGAAAGAGAGGCAATGTCGGGTAGTGTCTGGCAATCAAGAATAGTATACTTTTCAGAATCGATGGTGAATGAAAGCCCAGGCATGACAATACCTGCAGCAGTCAAGACCTGTGACACTTGGTCTTGTAATTGGAACTCGGAGGGATCTTGCTCGATCCCAATTGTAACTGATAACGCAGTTTCAGGTCGCGCAAGGTGATATTTTTTAATTTCGATGCGATCACCGAGCACCAGGCCTAGTATTTGTCTTGTTTCATGAGCCATTTTTACGACCTCCTTGGGCGATGACTGAGGGGTCTGAGCAGCAATTAAGACGAGCCCAGGATGGTCGGGTTTCGAAACCACCATGAGGTCACCCGATGCAATGCCATACGCCCGGAGAGTATCTGGGTGGGCATAAAGGGAGACCAGAGATTCTGCGGCCGCAGCAGAGTTGCCAGCCGAGACGCTGGGTCTCAGAATCAGTTCCTTGGGGGGTTTGGTTGGTTTTTGACTGGCAGGCTGTGCTGATGAGGGAGGAGGGGGAGGAGTTGTAGTAGTTGTACCAAAAGCACTTCCACCAAAGGGACTACTTCCAAAAGCACTACCGGATGTAGTAGGTGCACTTGCTGAAGGAGAAGAAGAAGTTGCAGACTTCTTTGCAGGAGCATTCAAGTTGACTTTTTTAGCCATTGTGGATGGTTGATTGCAAGGTATCAATGAGTTGAGCAAAGCAGCAGCGGTTAGAAAAAAAAAAAAAAATTTTAAAACAGGAAAAAAAACTTAAGTCACGTGCATGCGGCTCAGAGACGTTTTGATTTATAAATAGGGATTTGGGTATCCGAAAATGGTAGAATTACTCGAAATTTTAAAATTTCCTATGCAGAAAAAAAAAAAAACAAAGTAAAAGTAAAAGTAAAATATATACAAAAGTTAAATAAAAAGCTTCCAAAAATTGAATACCATAAATAAATAGATAGATAATAAGTCATGGTTTACTTTAAAAGATAAATAAAATGATAAGCTAGTAATCTCTTATTTTTTATTTTTTTTTTCAAAGAATGAATTATGCTAGGAATGCAATTCTCAAAGGCCAATTTTCCTGAAATCGAAAAAAAATAAAGAACAGATAGTAATTACTATGTTAAAAGGTTATAAACTTTTAACATGATAAAAATTTACTGATATGGAGGGGGGGCACTAAAAAAACTCAATCTAATTTTTCAGAGTATCTTAAATGTTAATTCAAAAATGAGATGAGTATTTAAGATATCGAAATAAAAACAATCAAAAAACAATCAACTAGATTAAAGTCTATAAAAAGTATAGATTAGTTAATTTATTAATAGTAAACTTAAGTAAGAAGGAATGAATAATTTTGATCAAGAAATACAATAAAAAAATAAATATAAGGGGAAAATCAATTAAAACAATACTAACCTTATCGAGTTTTAAAAGAACATACAATTGAACTATTCCAACAATTTAAAAAAAAAATGTAAAAAAGAATAATGATAGAAATTTATGAGACGATAAAAATAATGAAAATAATGAAAATAAAAAAAATAGTTAAATATAGTTTGTATTTGTGTAAAAAATCAAAAAAAGATAAAAATAATTTAAAAAAATAATAATAAAATAATAATAAAAAAAAAACAGGTCATTTTTAAATAAAAATAATAAGAATGGAAATTTACTTTCAATTTTTTTTTTTACAAAATGTATATTAAAGAAAAAAAAATACATTTGACAATTGAGTAAGATATTGTTTTTTTTTTTTTTTTACAAAACCGAAAAAGAAATTGAAAAAAAAAAAATCGGGTTAACCTAAAATGGAAGAGAAGGGAAACGACATCCTCAACTTGAAGTATTTTATTTTATTTTTATTTTATTTTTTTTGATTTTTTTAGAGTTTATTCCGTGATATGCATAATGATTTTCTTTTCATATTTAGAAACATTTGGGTGTAAAGCGAGACAAAAAGTTTTTTTTTTTTTTTTTTTTTGGGACATTATAATTTATTGTCATATTCATTATTGTACAACGTATAATTATACGTTTTATTATAAAACATGAAATATATATATACAACAACATTTTATATTGATAAATAACATGTGAGTCAAAACATGTGACAAGCATGTGGAAGATGAAAAAAAAAAGAAGATACAGTAGTATAGAACAGTCAAATTTTTTTTTTATTTTATTTTATTTTATTTTATTTTCCATTTTTTTTTTTAAAATTAGGACTTTTTCAAGTTTAAGAAATTATGAAATATCTAGTACTTTGAAGAAAATAAATATTTTTGAAACCTGTATATCACAAGTTTATTTTATTTTATTTTATTTTTTTTTTGTAAAGGGAAAAAATGTTGGTTCCTGAATTATTTTAACCTGGAAATGTGATGTTAATATTCCACATTGTTTTTTTGGGGGTATATGAGTTGAATACAATGGGGTTTAATTTTTTTTTTCAAGCAAGCAAGCAAACATTTTCCCAGTTAAACAACTTAACTATGAAAAAAAAAAAGAGGAGATAAATGGCAAATAACGGGGGTAAACCAATTCCGAAAACAAAAGAATTTTTTTTTTATTTTTATTTTTATTTTGAAGGGGATGAAATGGGGCTTTTACAACTGAAACTAGACCGGAATAAAATGTGAGTCAAAGACGTTACAAGAAATTTTAACCAGCTGAACTTGGCTTTAAATTAAAAAAAAAATTGTATTATATTCAAGTATTTATTTTATATTTTTTTTTACCTTTTTTTTTTTTTTTTTTTTTTTTTATTCAAGGATCTAAAAATAAGTTTGTTTCTTTTTGTTTACTTAATTTTTTTTTTTTTTTTCAAACAATGTAAAAATGAAAAGTAGAAAGTACAAGAAGTTTATAAAAAAAGAAGTTTTAATTCGGCTTGAATTATTTTTATTTTTTTATTTTTTTATTTTTTTATTTTTTTATATTTTTATATTTTTATATTTTTATATTTTTATATTTTTATTTCTTATTTTACTTGTGAAAATAGGGGAAATCTTAAAAGAATGTAAATAAATGATTGTAAAAGAGTGATTAGAGATGAGAAACAAACGTTAAATTTGCTTATAAGTACAATAGTCGAATGATAAAACAACATGATAAAATGAATGAATGAATGAGTTAAAAAGGGAAGCATTAACATGATTAACATTGGGGGAAATTAAATTTTTTTTTTTTCTTTTCGATCACGGTGAAAAAAAAAAAAGAGTTCTTGAGTATTCAAATATAAAAAATATAAATTTCTTTTTTTTTTTTTTAATGTTTTCCGTTCTGCGACAATAAGGTCTAATAGCATAATAGGAAAAAAACTCCCTAAAAAGGAATCAGGACTTTTCATTTCTAGAAAACAAAAAAAAAAAATCAAAATTACCGATAGAAGATATCAGTAACAATTTATTAACAATCGGAACTTGGGGGAGTTTACTAGCTAGTTATCTTTATATAAAATTTTAAATTGCATGATATGATTGTTGGGATTTAAGTAAAAAAGAAACCAACCGAGGTAGACTGTTTTCCAAAGATTGTGTTTATTTCTATTAAAAAAATAAAAAAGTTTTTAACAATCATATTCATATTTATTTCTTTTATCCTTTCTACCGAGAATCATTAAAAACTCTTTTTTTTTTCTTAGTAACGGGGTCGTTTTGATGAAAATGGAATAATTTTTTTTTTAATCTTAAACGCATTTTTAATCTTGGTTAAGAAATTAAAGGTTGAAAGGGCTTTACTCCAGGATATTTTAACGAAATATTGGGATCAGGTTTAGGGGTTTATTTTTGAAAGTTTCCACGTAAACAAGAATTAAAGATCCCCAGTGATTATTTTTTTTTTAACCACCACCAAAAAAAAACATAAAAATAAAACAGATCAAAAAGAATCCATCCGTATTCAACCCGATCATATTTAAAAAAAAAAAAAAAAAACAAAACAAAACAGCTAGACAAATATGGTCAAAGGACTGTTTTCGTTTGATTTCTTTTCCAAGACCGTGGAGGAGGCACGGATTCGCACATCACTGGGCGGAATGATTAGCATTCTGACGGTGTTTGTGATTGTTGTTTTGACTATTTGGGAGATTATTGATTTCCGACGCGTTGAGTTTTTGTCCGAGGTGAGAGTAGATAAGGCCCGAGGTAAGATTGGTTTTTTTTTTTTATTTTTTTTATATTTGGAAAGAAAGAAAAAAAAAAAAAGAATTGAGTTAACTGAAAAGTGTTTTAGGAGAGAGATTGAACATTAATTTCAACATTACATTTCCAAATGTTCCTTGTGATTGTAAGTGTACTGAAGAAAAAAAAAATGTTGTATAAGGTTTATTATTTTTATTTTTATTATTATTATTATTTTTATTATTATTATTAACAAGAGTAACAAGTACTATACATGGACATTTTGGACATTTCAGGGGAAGTTCAAGAGGCAATTACGGCCGGTGTGCATAAGACTCGTGTAGACGAGAATGGTCGGGAAATTTCATCGCATCAAATTAAATTTGTTACTTCTGAAGACGGGAAGACAGTAAAACAGATTGACGAGTCTGATCGGGGTCGGGTGATTCGTGAACTTTATGAGAAAAAGGGATCAGATTATTGCGGTTCTTGCTGGGGATCAGTTTCTGATGGAAGCAATGGTGAACCTGGAGAAAAGGCAGCAGGGAAACGGTGTTGCGATACATGTGCTGATGTGAGAATTGCATATAGTGAAGTTGGATGGGCATTCCATGATGGAAGCGGGATTAAGCAATGCGAGGAAGAAGGATACCAGGAATGGATTGAACAGATGAAGAACGAGGGATGCAATGTTGCCGGAGCAGTTAAGGTGAACAAGGTTGCAGGCAACTTTCATTTTGCTCCTGGAGCTTCTTTCACATTTAATGGGCGTCATTCGCATGACTTGTCATTATATGGGCGAAAGGATTTGCCATATAACTTTGCACATAATGTGCATGAGTTGTCGTTTGGGGCAATGCCTGGGGCTCAGGAAGAGGCAGAGGAGCGTATTGTTGCGGCGCGGCTGGAGGAACGGTATGGTGGGAAGGATGGCGCACAAATGGTAAAGCCACTCAATGGGCAGAACAAGGGTACGGAAGATAAGCATTTTACGTTTCAATATTTTTTAAAAGTTGTTGCAACACGGTACGAGCTTCTTGACCATAAGGCTTTGGAGACCAATCAGTATAGTGTAACTTCACATGAGCGTAACATTGTGGGTGGTCGTGATGCGGATCATCCACACACTGCGCATGGCCGTGGAGGTGTTCCTGGGGTATATTTCCAGTATGACATTTCACCTTTGAAGGTGATTAATAAGGAGCATCGACCGGGGACTCTGGGGAACCTTGTGACATCTGTGTTGTCAATGGTTGGTGCAGCCATTACACTTGGGTCTCTTGTTGACTTTACAACATGGGAGATTTCCAAGGAGGCTGCGCGGCGCAAGGGTCAGTGAGCGGCAAGAATACGCGAGGGGTGCATGTAAGTATTGTAATAAGGTAGGTGAGTAATTACTTATAAGAGAGTATGATAAGTTTAGGAGGTAGAATATTGTAATTACAACAACAACAACAATAACAATAACAACCATTAACGACCAAGATCATGACAACGATCACAACCACAACCTCCACCACAACCACCACCACAACGAAAACAACATCCAACTATTATTATGATTATTATTATAATAATAATAATAATTACAATTATAACAATATAGATATAATTAATGTATTGATGATTATGAGGGATTTTTTTTTTCTAATTTTTTTTGTTTAAAAAGAAAAAAAAAAACAAAACAAAAATTTTTATTTTTTGCGGGGAAGTTTTCAAGCGGTATGTTGGTGCGTAGCGGGGCAGTTTTTTTTTTATTTTTTATTTTTTATTTATTTTATTTTTTTTTTTTTTTGGCATGATTTTATATTGATTTGAATTTAAATTTAAATTTGAATTTGAATGAAATAGAGATTGAAATATAGAATGAAATATAATGAAATAGATTGAAATAGATTGAAATAGATTGAAATAGATTGAATTAGATTGAAATATAGATTGAAATAGATTACAGTGAGTCCAGGTAAGTAAGCCAAGCAGTTGGAATGGCTTTGTGTGTGTATCTATGTGTTTGTGTATGCGCATTTATGTGCCTATTAGGTTAGGCTAGGTTAGGCTAGGCTAGGCTAGGCAAAACTAAGTGGGGTGAATTAATTAGAAATATATATATATATATATTGTAAAAATACTTAATAATAAATAGTAGTAAATAGTATGGGGGGGGGGGCATTTTTTTTTTGGTGGTTTTTTGGTAGAAAAGATTTTTATTTATATGTGTGTGTATTTGTGTGTGTGGGATTTGCTGGCTGATTTTACTTTTTACTTTTTATTTTTTATTTTTTTTGACAGCCTCTTTAGAACAATAAATAAATATGTGTGTTGTTGCAGTGACTGACTGTGTACGATAAAGTGGTCGACGCAAAACAGGCAAAGCAGACAGGCAAAGCAGAAAGACAGACATACAGACATACAGACAGAGCAGGTAAAAAGCAGTTAGAGAAAAAAAAAAAAAAAAAAAAAAGAGCAAAAATAAAATAGAGCGGGGTGGTGATTTGTTTGTTTGTTTGTTTGTTTGTTTTTTGTTGTTGCTAGTAGGTTGGTAGTAGTGCTAGTACATAGGTTGGTAGTGAAGTTTGTGAAGTTTGTGAAGTTTGTGAAGTTTGTGGAGTTTGTGGAGTTTGTGGTGAAGGTCTCCGTGGTTGTCTACCGTAATGAGTACCCACTTTTTTTTTTTTTTAAAGTGTATATGGGCATGCAGTTAATTAGTGGTGGTGGTGGTGGTGGTGGTGGTGGGATTTGTTAAATTTTTAAATTTTTTTTTTTTTTTTACAAAATCGTCTATATACAAAATAATTATTTATATAAACTAAACTAATATGGAATTTTTTTTTTTTTTTTTTTTTTTTTTTCATACCAAAAAAAAAAAAAAAACTCGCCCCGCGCCGACAATATCATCATCATCAAAGGTGGGGGGGGGGATGGAGGGAGGGAGGGAAAATAAATGTATGTTCTCCACATTTTTTTCTTTAAAAAAAAAAAGAAAAAAAAATTATATCTTTTTAATCCCATTTTTAATCATAATAATAATAATTCATCATATATATTTTTTATTTTTTTTTTTTTTATACATATAAAATATTTCTCTCATTGCAACCTAGAAATCAACTCATTGCTAAATTGATACCTCTTTAAACACTTGTGAATAAATTGATTCA